TTCCAAAAAGGATGGGGAGAGGCTGTTCTCAGTAGTGACAGATGGCAGAACAAGGAACAATGGTCTCAAGTTGTGGGGGGAGAGGTCCAGGTTGGATATTAGGAAAAACTATTTCACTAGGAGGGTGGTGAAGCACTGGAATGGGTTACCTAGGGAAGTAGTGAAGACTCCATCCCTAGAGGTGTTTACGTCTCGGCTTGACAAAGCCCTCGCCGGGTTGATTTAGAAGGAATTGGTCCTGCCTAGAGCAGGGGGCTGGACTTGATGACCTTCTGAGGTCTCTTCCAGTTCTATGATTCTATTTTGAAATAACAAGTGGAGTATCCACACTACCAAGTGTGTTATTTCGAAATATGGGGCTAGTTATTATAACAGGGCTGGTTATAAGGGGGGGTCGCTTTGAAAAAACTCCCTACTGTAGACCAGGTCTGTGATGCTTTGGCAGCTGGACTGGGGTTTTGAAGCTGCCTAGTGTTACCTGGCTTCCAGGTACATTACTGAGTCACCCCAACAGCCCACTGAGTCCTCTACTGCTACACAAAACGTCTACCAATGCAAACATTTCCCGTCACATTTTAAAGGCAGTGCAACCTGCCAACATACCCAATTCCTGTGAGAAGGGGACCACTGACACCACAGGACTTCACCTGATGTTCCACGGGCAGCAGGCAGTGTGTGTTCAGCTAGGGAGGCAACTGCCTTTATGCAGCATGTTTGTACCTTCCCTTGGGGCCACTTGGCCATCACGGAACCTCAGCTGCTTGGCTTCGTGTGCACCAGCTTAAACCCCCATTACAGCCAATGGCAAACAGCAGGAGGCCAAATCACAAGGAATGGGGGCTGATGCTAAACAACTGGCCTGCAGCGCCAGACCTGCTGCAGACTCCGTTCCCGGAATTTAGTCTTGTGAGCCCTGTTTTGATGATTCTCATTAGTCACATGCTACCTCAGGGGTAGAAGAGGGCTGATGCTGCTGCTGTCACAGTTGTAATAATACAGAATATTAACGCTAATAATGCTGGAGCAGATTTCTCCACCGAAGTCCCCTTTCCTGAATTACACACCCAGGGATTAGGCCAAAGCTCTGTGTAGGGGAATTCCCCTCAGACTGACCCAGAATGGGCCATCCTTTCCCTTCTCCCTGAGAAATGAAAATTGGCCCCTCTACCCAGGGATCCCAGAGTTAGGCACACATCTCAATGATTCCCCATCTAGTGTCCCCCTGCCGATTTCTGGGCCTCCACAACTGCTCTAGGACACTCTCCAGCTCCCTGCTAGCACAGGCTCCTCAGAGATGGGTGACCACAGCAGCCACTGCTCACAGGAACTGCTCAAGGAGTCTTGTGCAGGGAGGAGGGGGCTGCACAGAGAAAGTTGGTTAGAGTAGCTGATGGGACATCTGGCTCTCAGACACCAGAACAGGGGCAGAGAGATTTGTAACTATGAGGGGTCCTTGCAGAGTAGAGGTTCTGGAGCCTTAGTCCTGTCAGGAAACAGAAATATGCCCTGTGAGATCTTTGACCACAAGGCAACACATTCCTGAGTTCCTGCCTTCACATTTTAGCCACTATAAGTCAATTTGGGTATATAGTCTGTGGGGTCTCCTCTCACTCAGAGCCTAGAGGGACTGGGCCCTAATCACACTGCATGTTTACAAATCCCAACCTTTCAGAAAGTCTGCTATTTCAGCAGCCCAACATGGAGCATGGGCAGAGGCAGGATAGGTCCCAAGCTCTCTAGCGCTGCCTGCCTTCCTGCCCCAACACTGAGGAACCCCGACTGCCCAGCTGAGTCCTCCGCCGCTGTACAGAACGGCTGTCAATACAAACAGCCTGCAGCCTTCACTACCAACGTACCCAGTTCCTGCTAGAAGGGAGCTGCTGGCACCAGAGGTCTTCACCCTGAAGCACAAGGAGTCACCGGAGAGGTTGCACGGGCAGCAGGCAGTGTGTGTTCACATAGGGAGGCAACTGCCTTTATGCAGCATGTTTGTACCTTCCCTTGGGGCCACTTGGCCATCAGGGAACCTCAGCTGCTTGGCTTTGTGTGCACCAGCTTCAACCCCTGTCACAGCCAATGGCAGACAGCAGGAGGCCAAATCCCAGCTGATGGGGGGTGATGCTAAACAAATGGCCTGCAGCACCAGCCCTGCTGCGTGCTCTGTTCCTTGAATCTGGGCTGTGATCAATGTTCTTATGGGTCTGATTAATCCCATGGCTACTTTGTGGGTGACCAATTGTCATGGCAGCAATGGTGCTGTTATGGCTGCTATCTTGCTGAAATATAATAATAATAATAATAATAATAATAAATTCTCCTAGGTAGACCCTCTCCTACATTATCAAAACAAGATGCCAGACAGTATAAGGAGATCCCACAAGGCTCCATACATTGAAATTTTTTTGGGGCCATTCCCCGTCCATTCCCTTCTCATTGGGAAATGGAAATGGGGAACGTGGTGGGTTCCCCTGCTTGGCGCTGGCTGAGGCGCTGGTGCTGACTGCAGACTGGATCTTTCTGGAGGAGTGAGTTTGGATAGATATTCATGGCTCTGGATAAAATGGGCACAGGAACTCAACCCCTCCCTCTTCCCTCTGCTCCCCCAGCCTCCTGAAAAGAAAGAGGTTTAGTCGTCAAGAGAACAAAGCATTGGAGAAAACGGTTTGAAAGTAACAGGCAGCTGTCATGTCTACACTCATCCATCTCATGTATCCCAAGATCAGACAGGCTTTGCTCTGGAGACACAGGAACAGAACTGATTCGATTTACATTGTGTGGGAAGCCAAGGAGCCCTGGGGACCCAACCTTGTTTGCCTGTGTCTGTGAGAGCCTCTTCCCATCCGTTTGACCCATTCATACCTTTTCTGGAACCTGTGTGAGCCTGGGCACTGTTACTGCAGACCTCAGCTGTGTCCACGTTACAGGCCGAAGTGTGAAGCTGACTTTGCACCCAGGCTGCTTTCCTCAAGCCCCTCATGGACACTGCTTCATTGTTTGAGAGACTGATCCATTCGGTCTCAGTGGCTCCCAAACACTGATCAGGCGAGTGTGCTGAAACTCCTGGCGACTCCGAGGCACTCCAACGCTCTCCTCAGAACTCCACCACCTACCCCTACGGTCACCCTTTAATGCCCCCACATCTACCACAGACACCAACATACTGGTGTCATGGGGCTCCTCAGAAGCCAACTGTCACAGGAAACTGTGGAAAGAGGCCTGTGCAGACAAAAGTCAGGGGTGTAGCTCTGTGGGATCATGACATAGCCCTGATTTCGGTGTTTCTGTGTATCTGAGGCCATGACTACACTACAGAGTTTTTCCAGGATACTGGAGGTGTTCCGGAAAAACTCTGCTGTGTCCAGGGAACGCATCTGCTCTTCCAAAAAATGTTTTTCGAAAGAGCAGATGTGCTTTTTCGTCATCTCAATAAACCTTGTTTAACAAGAAAAAGGGATCTTCCGAAAATGGTTTTTTTCCCATAATTGCAGATAACCATCCTCCTAAACTCCATTCCTCAGATTAGTGTACCTGAATAGCCTCCTTTCTGATATGGTCTGCCAAATCATGGATTTACTCTGATTTGTCTGGTATATATATGCAACATTCCTTCCCAATCAGGACACACACTCCTCCCTTGCTGGCTAACATGAAATCCAAAGCCATGCGATTTTGTAATGTCATGGTTCCGATGGCTATCATTTCCGTGGTCATCTGATCAAGTGCGCTAGCAGTAGCATTACTGACTTTTTCTTAAACATTTGCTAAAAGCCTGACATTCTTGATAGTCCAGCCAACTCCATACGTAGGGAACATTATGGCCCAATATCGTTCATTCTCAGTGATTTCTCGTTTTATTCTATTAACTTGAGGCAGACTACTTAAATGCCTTATGGCTGGGATAACATACCCCATGTAGCAGGATCCAGACCAGTTGCTTGGTGCTCAGAAATAGACCCTGTTTCCACAGATCCAATAAGTTGAGTTAAAAGAGGACATTTGGTACTTTGCTATATGGGTTCTATTGATTTTTTTGTATGGTGGTCAGTCTGGAACAATTTATAATAAAGCTTCTCTTTTCATCTATTGTTACAGTCTCATTATGTTTCAAGGTAGAGCAGTCAATGGTGTAATTACAGGAACTATTTCCCACCCATCTGTTTCCTAGAAATTTATCACACATGGTCCCTTCTGACCTTAAAGTCTATGAGTCTAATAATTTCATCTGGTGACCCCTAGTTCCTGTGTTATGGGGATGCTCACTTACAAAGGGCCAGAAGTGCCACTGCACAATAGACTTGCAGCTTTTTCATGGCATATAGCAGATTAACTAGAGACAGGACAGTGATAAGCCAGGTGTCATGGGAAACAACATCTACATCCCTTCTCTTTATTGACGGTACAGAGAGGAATAATGAAGCTGAAGGAGCCACTGTTAAGGTTCTTTGTCACCCACCCATCCTTTGGCTCTTCATGAACCCAAACACTTTGGAAATGCGGCTGCCCGCCTTCGTGTCCTTCCCCAGATCTCTGTCCTCCCTCACCCATGGGTGGGGACAACCCGTCTCACACAGCTCCAGGCCTTACACCCCACTGGAACCTCAATATAGAGAGCAGATATCAGTAGTTCATGTCATGTAGGAGGTAAGGGTATGTCTTCACAGCTACCCTGAATCTTTTGGAAGCATCTGCAATTTCAAAATATAGTGGACGCACTATTTCACCATCTCTTAACCTCATTGTATGAGGAGTAAGGGATGACTCGAAATAGCACTTTATTTTGAAATTTGGCACTGTGTAGACAGCGCCAATTGACAAAATAAGCTATTTTGAAATACTCAAAATCAGCTATATAATTTGCGTAGCACAAATGGCGTATCTTATTTCGAGTTTTGGGTGCTGTGTAGACGCACCCTAAGTGTCCCTCATGGGGTGAGTGGCTGTGGCTTGACTTTTTCATGTTTAAAATCACCAGAGTTGGAGCTGGAAGAGGAACTGACCCTTCACTTGAAGAACACCCTGAATATCCTTGAACGAAGGTGTTGGCTTTTCATGCTGTACACGATTGGGTTCATCAGGGGAGGTACCACCATGTAGATGTAGCCCATGAGACTCTGAAGCAAGAGGGAAGAGCTATTCCCAAATCTGTGTACCACGGACAAGCCAATATCTGGTAAGTAGAAGAGCAGGATGGCACAGAGGTGTGAGACGCAGGTGTTCAGGGCCCTGAGGCGCTCTGTGGAAGATGTGACACTCAGCACAGTCTTGAGGATCATCACATAGGAAAGAAAAATGAACAATGAGTCCAACCCCACAGCTAAGAGTTTGATAGCAAAACCATAGATGCTGTTGACGGTGATGTCTGCACAAGCCAACTTCATGACGTCCTGATACAGGCAGTAGGAATGGGAGAGGACATTGGATCGACAGTATTGGAACCGTTTCAGAAGAAAGGGGAGTGGGAATACTAGGGACATTGACTTTAGCACAAACACCAGCCCCATTTTGGCTATTCTTGGCAGGGTTAAGATGGAAACGTATCTTAGTGGATTGCAGATTGCCATGAAGCGGTCAAAGGCCATCAACAGGAGCATGGAGGAATCACTGAATGAAAACAAGTGGACGAAGAACACCTGGGCAAAACAGGCATTGAAGCTGATCTCCCTAGAGTTAAACAAGAATAATCCCAGTGTGGTCGGCATGGTGGATATTGATAAGCCAATGTCTGTGAGGGCCAACATGGAAAGGAAAATGTACATGGGCTCATGGAGGCTTGGGTCTGTTTTTATAATGAACAGAATGAGTGAATTTCCTGTTATTGAGATAGCGTACATTATGCAGAAGGAGACAGAGACCCAGAGACGGACTTTTTCCTGCCCAGGTATCCCAGTGAGAAGGAACACTGCAGAATTGAAATTGGTGTCATTGGCAACTGACATGATGTCCTAGGATTTTCTGAGGAGTTTTAAGCTTCAATTTCTGAAAGGAAAAATAACATGAAAGTAGATGATATTTAGCTAGACTACTTTCTGCTCTGAGTGCAAACTGAGAGGCTCCTAAGAGGTCAAGGAAGATCAGCAAAAACATGGACTTGGGTTTACACCATTAATGGTAAGATGATATTTTATGAGGCATCTTTCTGCTCTCAATGCAGAGACTCCCAAGCACTGAAAGAAGATCAGCAAAAATAGTGTTAGAAAATAAGCCCTGCCCGATTGGATGAGACCTGTCGTCTATCTAGTCTAGCATCCATTGGCCAGTCCCACATGCTTCAGAGAACTATGGAAAAGGCCCTTTAATAGGTAGCTCTGAGATGTGCTGCTGCTAGGGAAAATTTGTCCCTGATACCTACTGCCGAGACATATTTTGTTATGCAAATCAAGCAGGTTTAGAAACCTTCAAAAATTCTAAAACAATTCCTTCCACTGTATTTGTAACTGTATTTATTGGTTACCCATATAAACATCCAGCTTATATTTGAATCCTGCTAATCTCTCGGCCCCATTGCTATCATGTGGTTAGGAGTTCCACAGCCTGCTTCAAAGCACTGTGCAATTTTGCAATTATCACCTTCCCACAGACTCTTTCTGTGCCTCCGTATCTGAGGCTATGTCTACGCTACAGAGTTTTTCCAGAATACCGGAGGTATCTCAGAAAAACTCCTCTATGTCCAGGGAACATGTCTGCTCTTCTGAA